TGCCCACTCAGGCCAAAATTCCCCAATCAGAGCTTGCCTCTGTAGGGGTCCTAGCGGATTAAAGGTTTAGGTGAGAGGTGCGGCCGATTTCGGTGGCCGGGCCCGGGTGCCCGGGTGCCCGGGTGCCCGGCGGTGCCCGGGTGCCCTGGTGGCCGGTGAGGTGCGTGGCCGATTTCGGCGGACGGGCCCGGGTGCCAGGGTGCCCGGGTGCCCGGGGTGCCCAAGAGCCCAATAGCATATAGCCCAATAGCCCTATAGCCCTATGGCCCTATAGTTTTATAGCCCCATAACCCTATAGCCCTATAGCCCAATAGCCCAATAACCCTATAGCCCTATAGCCCGATAGCCCCATAGCCTTATAGCCCTATAGCCCTATAGCTCTACAGCCTTATAGCCCTATAGCCTTATAGCCCAATAGCCCAATGGCCCAATAGCCCAATAGCCCCATAGCCTCATAACCTTATAGCTTTATAGCCCTACAGCCCCATAGCCCAAACAAACATCTGATTGTTTTTTTTCTCTGGTGTCATGCATGTGTCAGTTCTTTATCCTGCTCTTCACCTGCCCCACCTCCTCTTCCTTCTCCTCCTCCTCCTCCTTGTCCTTCATGTCCTTTTCCTTTTCATTGATATGTCCGTTCTAGTTTCTGGCGCCTTCCCCTAATCCAAAGGCGGCGGGAGGCGACGGCCATTTTCTATTCCCCCGAAGCGACGATCCCGCACTAAAACGTACTAAACAACGCAAGAATCGCACTAAACCGCACTAAGCAGCCCATAGTTGCGCTAAAACGCACTGAACGGCACTGAACCGCACTGACGTCAGCCACACTGAATCTCACTAAACGGCATCACAATCAGGCTGGGATCTGCCAGGGTGCCCAAAAAAGCTCCCCTGATTTTGCCACTTAAAGTGGCGGGGATGCTTCATGCTAAACGGGCCAGACCACCTCACGCACATCATCCTAGAACACATACGTGCAAACATGTCTCAATCGGAAACGGTCCAGACCACCTCGCGCGCGGCGTCTGGGAGCCCAGAGTTGCGAGGACATCTGAGGTGAACGGACCACCTCACGCGCGTCATCTCGGAGCCGGATGCCTCGGGAGACGTGGGCGGGACCACCTCTGAATTTTGAGGTCTTGCATGTGCGCGCGCCCCTCGTGTGGCACTACAGTCGGGGCGCTGAAGAAGGAGCCCTTTTCGTCTGGGAGGGGCTCCGTGATCCTTATGGAAAACAGGGGCCTCGTTCCTCCTTTACCGTTCATTAGGTCAACGCCCCAACTATACTTCTTACGCTGTTTGGGAAAAATCCGCTTCCGAGGCGCCGAATGTGCGGACAAAAATCAGCCGGCGGAGAGAACGGTGCCGTGTCGTGTCGTGCTCGCGTGCCGCGTGCCGTGCCTGGGTTTGAGAAGGCAGAAGCAGGTGCCGTGCAACGTCCAGGTTCTAGCAGAAGGAGAGGCGGAGGAGGAGGCGGAGGAGGACGAGGAGGAGGAGGAGGAGGAGGAAGACCAAACACAGGTCGTGCCATGACGCGCCTAGGGTCTGGAAGGTGAAACCTTGGACGTGCCTTGCAACCCCCGCCCGTGTGCCCGTGCGCCGTGTCTAGATCCTAGCATGCGGAACAAAAAGTGGCCTGCCGTGCCCGCGCGCCGCTGCCCACATCAAAGGGCCGCGAACAGATCTATGCCACACCGTCCGCGCCGTGCCCAGGCTCTACAGAGTGCGAAGCACGCGCCGTGCCAGACGCGCGTGCTAGAACACGAGAGAGGTGCCGCGCCGTGTCGTGGCCGCGCGCCGTGCCCGGGGCCCGGGGCCCATAGGGATGCGAACACGTGCTCCGCCGTGCCTGCGTGCCGTGTCTGTTGGCTCCCGAGGGGGGAGGAGAGATGGGCCGGGCCTGGCCGCTCCGATTCCCGCGTGCCGTGCGGTGCCGAGTGTTCTCAGGGAGTCCAGCGGCGTGCCGTGCGTGCCCTGCCGTGCCGCGCGTGCGCGCCAATGGCGCCACGAGCATTCTCGCGGCCCGTGCCGTGCTGCGCCGCGTGCCGTGCCGCGGGTGCCGTGCCGTGCCGTGCCGTGCCGTGCCGTGCCGTGCAGTGCTGCGCGAGCCCTCGAGCTCCGATTGTGTTTGGGATACTCCAGATTTCGTCATAAAGGGAGGAGGGTCTCATTTCGGGGGGGGGTCTCTTCCAGGCTATCTTGGAGGGCCTGGGGAGTCTGGGGACGATGTTTTGGAGGGTTCTCCCACGGGGGAGGTCTGAAATGGCTTGTCTTGGAGGGTCCAGACCCCCTCCCTTTTTATTACGAAATCTGGAGTATCTTTGCACAGTGCATGCCCTGCAAACCTCAACATCGCCGTGTATATGGTTGCACCACGTCAGGCGGAACCTCGCGTGGCAAACCTGGAACGCCCCATGAGAGGTCTCAAACAGCTACTTTTTTGGCGTCGCGGCGCGGCGAAGGCAGGTCCGCACGCGCGTCCAGGCAACCCGGGCTACGGTATCGCGAGTGGTCCCGCATGCAGGCGGCGGCGGCGGCGGTCTCATCAGTCTCGATTCGCGGAAATCGAAGGGGATAAAACATTGCTCAAGCTCCTCGAGTGCGCTGTAGAGCGGGGTCTGTGCCCGTGGGGGGGGGGGGGGGGCGCAACGCCTCGGCACGTCCACGGAGGCATCCCGACGGCCAGGCGCGCCCCCAAAGAACTCAAACACTGCTGGGCTGCAAACGCAGGAGGGGAGGAGATGAGGGGAGAGGAGGAGGAGGAGGAGGAGGAGGAGGAGGAGGAGGAGGAGGAGCAGGAGCAGGAGCAGGAGGAGGAGGAAGAGGAAGAGGAGGACGAGGAGAGGCGGGCTCGAGGAGCGGAAGCAGAAGAAGAAGGCGCACTTCACGAGGCGAGGCCGCCGGGGGGCGCGCGCGGCGGCCAGGCCGAAGCAGAGAGCGCACACGCCAACGGGAAAGGAAGACGAACAGGGAAAACCTCAGGCGGTGAGAAGAGGCAACGATTGGAATCCTGGTCGTCGCTCTCATGTAGCTGCCCTCGGAGCCCTTCCTGATGCTGCCCTCGGTGAACGCTCTGGCGTTGCTGCCAGGGCTGACCTGGGCGAAATAACTACCGCACACTGCTTTGCCAAGCACGCCCTTCCCAGATCGATCCCTGCTGCGAAAGTCCTGCGACGGTCCATCGAGGTCGGATGGCTGCGAATCACGTGTTTGCATGTATAGGCCTGGGATGCCGCGGAGCGGATCGGATGAGTTGTTACTTGATCATGCGAGGCCCTGATGCGTGGACGCGTGTACCTGGTAGATTGAAGGCTGAGGGGTGAACTCGAAGCGAAATTATAGCCGGAGTGCAGTATCCCCAAACAAGGTTTTTAGACCCACTGCGGTTTCCAAGGTCGATTGCGTGCCCGTCCAGTGCGGGCTGGCATGGCATGTTAAACATGCCTCCTCCTCCTCCTCCTCCTCCTCCTCCTCCTCCTCCTCCTCTTCACCCGAACGGCATCTCGGAGCCCAGAGTTGCGAGGATGTCTCAGGCGTAACGGGCTGGACCACCTCTCGCGCGGCATCTCGGACCCCAGAGTTGCGACGATGTCTCGGGCGAAACGTGCTGCGAGGAAGTCTCAGGCGAAACGGGCCGGACCACCTCGAGCGCGGCGTCTCAGAGCTTCGAGTTGTGGGGGCCTCCTGGGACCTCCAGGGACCTCCTGGTGACCTCCTGGGGCTTCCTCCTGGGCCTCCTGTGGCCTCCTGGACCCCGCCTGGGGCTTCCTGAAGCTTCTTGGGGCTCCCAGGGGGGGATATCTAACATGTGGCCGTCGGGGCCCTCCAAAATGGGGGGGGGGCCACAAGAGCAGGAAAAATCAACGAATCGACACCGGATGTGTATTAACTTGACACGTTCTGATAGGGGGCCTCCTGGGGCCTCCTGGGAGCCTCCTGGGAATCTCCTGCGGATCCCTGGGGCCTGTCCTGGGCGTCCTGCGGCCTCCTGAAGCTCTCTGGGGCCTCCTGGGGCTCCCAGGGGGGATATGTAACATGTGGTCTTCTGGGCCCCCAGGCTGGACCACCTCTTGCGCAGCATCTGAGAGCTCAGAGTTGCGAGAATGTCTTGTGCGAAACGGGCCGGACCACCTTGCGCACGGCATCTCAGAGCTCAGAGTTGCGAGGATGTCTCAGGCGAGATGGGCCGGACCACCTCGCGCAGGGCATCTCGGAGCCCAGAGTTGCGAGGATGTCTCAGGCGAACGGGCTGGACCACCTCGCGCGCGGCATTTCGGACCCCAGAGTTGCGACGATGGACACCTCAAATTTCGGGCCGAGTTGCGACGATGTCTCGGGCGAAACGTGCTGCGAGGAAGTCTCAGGCGAAACGGGCCGGACCACCTCGAGCGCGGCGTCTCAGAGCTCCGAGTTGCAGGGGCCTCCTGAGCCTCCTGGGAACTCCTGGTGACCTCCTGGGGCTTCCTCCTGGGCCTCCTGTGGCCTCCTGGACCCCAGGGGCCTCCTGGGGCCTCCTGGGAGCCTCCTGGGAATCTCCTGGGGACCCCTGGGGCCTGTCCTGGGCGTCCTGCGGCCTCCTGAAGCTCTCTGGGGCCTCCTGGGGCTCCCAGGGTCCCAGGGAGGATATGTAACATGTGGTCTTCTGGGCCCCCAGGCTGGACCACCTCTTGCGCAGCATCTGAGAGCTCAGAGTTGCGAGAATGTCTTGTCGAAACGGGCTGGACCACCTTGCGCACGGCATCTCAGAGCTCAGAGTTGCGAGGATGTCTCAGGCGAGATGGGCCGGACCACCTCGCGCAGGGCATCTCGGAGCCCAGAGTTGCGAGGATGTCTCAGGCGTAACAGGCTGGACCACCTCGCGCGCGGCATCTCGGACCCCAGAGTTGCGACGATGTCTCGGGCGAAACGTGCTGCGAGGAAGTCTCAGGCGAAACGGACCGGACCACCTCGAGCGCGGCGTCTCAGAGCTTCGAGTTGCGTGAGCCTGCTGGGGCCTCCTGGTGACCTCCTGGGGCTTCCTCCTGGGCCTCCTGTGGCCTCCTGGACCCCACCGGGGGCTTCCTGAAGCCTCTTGGGGCTCCCAGGGGGATATCTAACATGTGGCCGTCGGGGCCCCCCAAAAGGGGGGGGCCACAAGAGCAGGGAAAATCAACGAATCGACACCGGATGTGTATTAACTTGACACGTTCTGATATGGGGCCTCCTGGGGCCTCCTGGGAGCCTCCTGGGAATCTCCTGCTCCCCCCTGGGGCCTTTCCTGGGCGTCCTGCGGCCTCCTGAAGCTCTCTGGGGCCTCCTGGGGCTCCCAGGGTCCCAGGGGGGATATGTAACATGTGGTCTTCTGGGCCCCCAGGCTGGACCACCTCTTGCGCGGCATCTGGGAGCTCAGAGTTGCGAGAATGTCTTGTGCGAAACGGGCCAGACCAACTTGCGCACGGCAACTCAGAGCTCAGAGTTGCAAGGATGTCTCAGGCGAAACGGGCCAGTGTCTCAGGCGAAACGTGATGCGAGGAAGTCTCAGGCGAAACGGGCCAGACCACCTCGAGCGCGGCGTCTCAGAGCTCCGAGTTGCGGGGGCCTCCTGGTGCCGCCTGGGGCCTCCTGGGGACCTCCTGGGGCTTCCTCCTGGGCCTCCTGTGGCCTCCTGAACTCCACCTGGGGTTTCCTGAAGCCTCTTGGGGCTCCCAGGGGGGAACATCTAACCTGTGGCCGCTTGGGCTCCTCAAAGTGGAGGGGGGGGGCCACAAGAGCAGGGAAAATCAACGAATCGACACCAGATGTGTATTAACTTGACACGTTCTGATAAGGGGGCCTCCTGGGGCCTCCTGGGAGCCTCCTGGGAATCTCCGGGGGACCCCTGGGGCCTGTCCTGGGCGCCCTGCGGCCTCCTGGAGCTCTCTGGGGCCTCCTGGAGCTCCCAGGGAGGATGTGTAACATGTGGTCTTCTGGGCCCCCAGGCTGGACCACCTCTTGCGCAGCATCTGAGGGCTCAGAGTTGCGAGAATGTCTTGTGCAAAACAGGCCGGACCACCTTGCGCACGGCATCTCAGAGCTCAGAGTTGCGAGAATGTCTCAGGCGAGATGGGCCGGACCACCTCGCGCAGGGCATCTCGGAGCCCAGAGTTGCGAGGATGTCTCAGGCGAGACGGGCTGGACCACCTCGCGCAGGGCATCTCAGAGCTCAGAAGTTCGAGGATGTCTCAGGCGGGTTCCCAGGGTCCCAGGGAGGAGATGTAACATATGGTAACAGGCGAAACGGGCTGGACCACCTCTTGCGCGGCATCTCAGAGCTCAGAGTGTCGAGGATGTCTCAGGCGAAATGGGCTGGACCACCTCTTGCGCGGCATCTCAGAGCTCAGAGTTTCGAGGATGTCTCAAGCGAAACGGGCCGGACCACCTCGCGCACGGCATCGGGGAGATCAGAGTTTCGAGGATGTCTCAGGCGAAACGGGCCGGACCACCTCTCGCGCGGCATCTTGGAGCTCAGAGTTTCGAGGATGTCTCAGGCGAAATGGGCTGGACCACCTCTCGCGCGGCATCTCAGAGCTCAGAGTTTCGAGGATGTCTCAAGCGAAACGGGCCGGACCACCTCGCGCACGGCATCGGGGAGATCAGAGTTTCGAGGATGTCTCAGGCGAAACGGGCCGGAGCACCTCGCGCGCGGCATCTTGGAGCTCAGAGTTGCGAGGATGTCTCAGGCGAAACGGCCCGGACCACCTCTCGCGCGGCATCTGGGAGCTCAGAGTTTGGAGGATGTCTCAAGCGAAACGGGCCGGACCACCTCTCGCGCGGCCTCTCAGAGCTCAGATTTAGGAAGATGTCTCAGGCGAAACGCTCAATCCCGGACAACTCAGAAACGAGAGTTGTGAGGATGTCTCAGGCGAAACGGGCCGGACCACCACATTTGTTTGAGGATGTCTCTGCTTAGCTTTCCCTCGGCCGGAGTTAGCTTCTACAACAGCACCCCGTTCAGCAAGCTGTTTGGGGAACAAAGGCCCCCAACAAGTATCGAGGCACAACGCACTGCATAAACATGATCTCTCGTAGGTCCGCGCGGATTTCTTGGATCGGCACTGAACCCCCTCCCTTGCGCGCGGAGCGCGCCAGTGGCGGCGCCGGAGGCGCCGCCAGGGGGGCACAGCGCCGATCCCAGAAAGCCGCGAGGACCTCCGACGAATTATGTGTACGCCATGTTTGGTTCTTTGAGAGGAACTCGGCTTCGGTACGGGGGGAGAGAGAGAGAGAGAGAGAGAGATCGATCGAGGGTGGTCCGCGAATGGTAATCTGAATCAAAAGCCAAGCGACCCGTCGAGGTTTGCGACTCACTGTCCTTCAACAGCGCTGTTCAAAGCGATTGAATACAGCACACATAGATACAACATGCATGCGTGCACACCCGCAGCAACTCTGGCAAATACGGTGCAACCACGCGCTGTACAATGGTGGCAACGAGGCTCCGTCCAACAACTGAACCGAGCATCGTTGCCACTCCAGCGCGTGATTGCAATCTTTGCATCGCACTTGAACCGTCGCGGCGACAGCGAACATGTTTCTAGAGGCCTTCAATATGGGGCTGGAGCCGATACATCGGCGATGCATCGGCGATGAATCGACGATGCACTGGCGATGCATCGGCGACGTCGGCGACGCATCGGCGACGTCGACGTGAAGCAAATCGGGCTCCACATCGAGCCGCATCGGCGATGCATTGGCGATGCAGCGCGATTTTCGACCCCATCCAGGACGCTCGACGGACGCTCGACGGGAGGTGGAGGCAAAACAGAGACCACCATGCAGACCCGTGTTTCGGAGAGGATGTCATGTCGAAAGCCGCTCCTTCTTCATCCCGGGACGAGTTAGCAACGTATGAACCGGGCGTGCCATTTCGGGATTGCCCGCGAGACGAAGGAGAAATGAGCAATGTGCAGCGGGAGGCGCCCCTCCGCGGGGAGGCGCCCTTCCGCGGGGAGGAGGGTGGGGAGGATGGAGGAGGGAGGAAGATGGAGGAGGCGGAGGAGGAGGAGGAAGATGGAGGAGGAGGAGGAGGAGGAGGAGAGGAGGAGGGAGGAGGAGGAGGGAGGAGGGGGAGGATGGAGGAGGGCGCCGTGCCGTGCACGGCGACACTGCGCGGCGCGCCTGGCACTGCGCAGCCGGGGCCCGCTGCCCGGCCTCCCAGCGCGCCCGGGCCCCGCGGCGCGCGGGAGGCGTGCGCCCCCCAAGAAGGCTGTCCTCCAATGGCCCCGCGGCCGTCTCGTGGGAGCCTGTTATTTTTAGACTCTGGCAAGTTTACTTGCATGGACGGGGGGGGGGGGCTGAGCCTGAAGCAAGCCTGGGGGGTGGGGGGCGCGGAAATCACGCAAGTCGAAATGCACTTGCACGCTAGTATTCGCTTGAAGAGGGGCGAGGAGGGGGGGGGGGGGGGGGCGAACGCCATGCAAGTAAACTTGCCTGAATCAAAAACAAACAGGCTCTGGCTGTCCCAGGGCCGTCCCGTGGGTGTCCCGCGGCTTTCCCGCGGTCGTCCTGGGGGCTTCCCCGGGTCGTCCCGGGGTCGTCCCGGGGTCGTCCCGGGGCCGCCTGGCTTGTCCCGGGGTCGTCCCCGGGTCGTCCCGCGGTTGTCCGGCGGTCGTCGCGCGGTTGCCCCGCGGTTGTCCCGCGCTTGTCTGGTGGTGGATGTCCCGCACTTGCCCCGTGGTTCGCATGTGCAGGCAATTGACGATGCGCACGGAAGGAACGACGTCCACGTCCACTGCGCTGGGGCAACAGTGCGTCCCCAGACATCTCCTGACCAGGGCACGCCCCTTCGCATTCCAGAACTTCGGCCGAACCAGATTGCCCCCCTTCCCCCCGGCCATCCGACGCTGTGATTTTTTACGTCGAGGCTGCCCAGAAATCTGGACCCATTCCTGTGGACCAATTCTTCATCCTGAACCGTCTCTTGGTGGTCCTGGGGCTCGGCGAGCACACTGGAGGCCGACCACTGCCAGAAGCCTTCCGCATATTTTGCGACGCGGGCATGTCTGGTCCTGACCCCCCCGCCTTCAGAGGCAAAGCCCTCAAGCCCTCCCCGCTGCACCTCCGCTGGCGCCCCAGGGCCCCGCATCCGCTGTATCTGCACCCCGCGGGCGCCCAGACAGTTCGGCATCTCGTCAACGTGCGTGGAAACGAGAGGGGGACAAGGAGGAGCAGGAGGAGAAGCAGAAGGAGGAGGAGAAGGAGGAGGAGGAGGAGAAGGAGGAGGAGGAGGAGGAGGAGGAGGGAGGAGGAGGAGGAGGAGGAGGGGAGGAGGAGGAGGAGGGGGAGGAGGAGGAGAGAGAGGGGAGGAGGAGGAGGAGGAGGAGGAGGAGGTGGAGGAGGAGGAGAGGAGGAGAGGAGGAGAGGAGCCAGAGTAGTAGTAGAGTAGTAGTAGTAGTAGTAGTAGTAGTAGTAGTAGTAGTAGTAGTAGTAGTAGTAGTAGTAGTAGTAGTTAGTAGTAGAGTAGTAGTAGTAGTAGTAGTAGTAGTAGTAGTAGTAGTAGTAGTTAGTAGTAGTAGTAGTAGTAGTAGTAGTAGTAGTCGTAGTAGTAGTAGTAGAGGAGGGGAGGAGGAGGAGGAGGAGGAGAGAGGAGGAGGGATGGAGATGGAGATGGAGCTGGAGGAGGAGGAGGAAGAGGAGGAGGAGGAGGAGGAGGAGGAGGAGGAGGAGGAGGAGGAGGAGGAGGAGGAGGAGAGGAGGAGCAGGAGGAGGAGGAGGAGGAGGAGGGAGATAGGAGGAGCAGGAGGAGGAGGAGGAGGAGGAGGAGGAGGAGGAGGAGGAGGGGGAGGAGGAAGGAGGCGTCAAAGGTCGTCCGCTCGAAGGTGGAACGAGACGCTCAGGCAGCGCAGGCCGCTCGGCAAAGAGGCCGGGGGCCCCACGGGTGTCGGAGGTGGTTCCCTTGCGCCACCCCGTGGGCGGGGTCTTGCTGGCTGGAATCTGTCACTGACGCTGCCCGGGAGAAGAAACATTAGGAAAAGAGGGAGAAATGCATCGTATCGACCATCATCATTATAATCACTGCTATCGACTCCATGATGACGATGTATGTAATCAACGCCGTCATTACTGTCAATACCACCATCACCGCCATTCACCATCATCACCATCAGCATCACTACCACCATCACCGTCATTGCTATCCTCGTTTTACTCATCGTCACCATCATCGTGTGCACCATCGCCACCTAATCGCCATCATCGTTATCATCACTATCAACATTGGCGGGCGGGCTGACTCCCCGACCCGAATAGGCGAGACGGGTGGATCCAAACTGGAAGCGGCTCGGGGCGGTCAGACCCTGACGGGCGGGCGGGACATTCGAGCAGGCGGGCTTTCGCCTAAGCGAGCGGGCAGAACGTAACGAGCAAAACGGGGCGGACGGACCCCATCGGGCGGGCGGGTCGGGGCGGCCGTACCCTGCAGGCGGGCGGGACACTCGAGAAGGCTGGCCTTCATGCAAGCAGCGTTGATGGCGCTGTGTTGGGGCGGAAGTTTAGCACCCTGCAGAGCGCGCGCCGCGCGAGCGCGAGGCAAGGGGACCATGAATAGTAGGTGCGCTTCGCTTGAGGGGCAACTGTGCAAACAAGACACTCGTCTTGCGAAGCGCGAGCAGCGGCGAGCGCGAGGCGGAGTAAGCAGAAAGAACACACACGACCTTCGCTTTTGTTGACTGGCGAAGCTTCGGGACCAGCAAGAAATACTGCCCCCCTCGTCGTTGCCCTCGCCCTCCTCCTCCTCCTTCTGGCCCTCCTCCTCGCCCTCGCAGACTCCCCAGGGCGCTGCGCAAAGGGTCTGGGCGCCTGGCGAAGAACGAGGCCACTCGGGGAGTGGGTGAAGGCTCGAAGGCGCCCGCTGCCCCCCGGTGGATGGGCGGGGGGGCGGGGGAGGGGCGGGGCTCCGCACCCGCACCTGGCTCTCCTGGCCAGCCTCGGCAGACGTCGCCCTTTTCTGCACCGTGGAGCAGACAGGCAGACAGGAGCTAAGGGGCACAAGTCCTGGGCTTTGCCTTTGTTTTCGGGCTCCCAGGGGTGTCAAGAAACGACTCAGGATGAAAAGCTGGTCCTGGGGGAATGCCCCAGGACCCAGAGGCTTGAGCTGAGCACAAAATGGTTTCTGCGTGGGCAGGTGGGCACGCTTACCATCACCATCACAGCGCAAGGACTGGGCTCCAGAGGCCTTGCATGGGGTCTCGAAAGAGAGGTCAGAAAATCAAGGCGCAGTACAATAATTGTCAAGTAATCACAGAATTTGCTTCTGCAGTGAAGAAAACCTCCCGGAACCGGCTTCGACAGCTCTGAACCGAATCGGCGCAGCCAAATTCCCAATGGACGGCGACCTCCTTCACCACCTCCCTCCGCTTGATTTTGCAGCCACCCAGGGCGACAGCTGGTGGGGAGCAGCCGTCCTGCAACCTGTGGCCAGACGTCCCCCACCGCGGCATACTCTGGGAGCCGCTTGCTGCCCGCCCTGAGCTTGGTATGCTTCGGAATACCCCAGAGCAAATCGAGAACGTCGGGCATGCGTGCCAATGGCTGCGCCGGAGCTACGGCATGCGACGCCGCGTGTGCAACACGTGCATGCACGAGCATGCGCATGACAACACTCAAAGCTGAGTGCCTGTACGTGCACGTCCCACATCTGCTTTCATGCACGCGCGTGTTCAACTTGCTGCTCGTATGCGTGATGTCCGCCGTTCAAATCCTGCGCGTGTGTATGCACGTGCACTACTAGCTCATGCATGCGCCTGTGCGGCTTGATAGCGCATGAGGCTCCTCTTGCTGAGTGTGCACGTTTGCGTTGGTGGGCCACGTGGGCGACGTCTCACACGCTCACTTCTGAAATTGAATCTGCTGGGCTGCTCGCCCAGCGTTGACGTGAGAGGACGTTGGCGTTGCCGGGCGTTCGGGGCCCGCCAAATCCGCCGACCCTGTCGGCGTGTGTGAAGGGGAATTCAGAGTTCGTCGTTCCCAGGTGTTCCTAAGAGGTGATCTTTCATTCGATCTGCTCTTCCATTCCCGGAGATTATCCCGAGATTCTTTCTGGCACGCCAAGCTAGTTAACTCGATATGAATCGAGCCAGGTGGTCATCGAAGTCGTAATTGAGTCGGAGGAAGCCTCTTCCCCGTGATCCCTTCCCCACCTTGGGGAGGGGGTTCCCTGGGGGGTCCCGGGTCAGAGTGCTGTCCCTCCTTCTCTTTTCGGGCCGCCTTCGAGCAAATTTGGCCCTTCTTCGGCTGATCAGGTCCAAGATGCTCCAAGAGGAGCCCAAGAGGACCCAGAGTCGCCGAAAGATTGTCCAAGACGCCAAAAATGGCCTTCAGACGGCCAAAGACGCCTCCAAGACGCCCTAAGAGCACTCCAGGAGTACTTCCAACAGGGCCCCAAGAGGCAATATGTGTTGCATTCCCGTTGGTTTGTGCCTGATGCTAGCGTTTCTGCCTTTTCGGCTTCCCGACGCTCCAAGACGGTCCACGAGGCCCCAAAGATCGCCCAAAGACGGCCCACGAGGCCGTCAAGAGGGCGGCGAGACGGCCTAAAAGGCTTCCAAGCCGGCCCAAAAGGCCTCCAGAACGGCCTAAGACGGCCCCAAGAACGCTCCAAGAGGGGCCCCAGAGGGCGAACACGAACCGACATTTCAAACTCACCGCCCCAGAGGCTTCCAGGAGGCCCCAAGAGGCTCCCAAGAGGCCCCCAAGAAGCCCCAAGAGGCTCACGATGCTCCCGTGAAGCCCCAAGACACTCCCAAGAGGCTCCCAAGCGGCCCACAAATTGCTCCCAGAGGCCCCCATCAGCCCTCCGAAGAGATCCCACGAAACATCCATGATAATGCTGACCCGCTGCCCAGGCACGGTGGCGGGATGGGCCGTAGGCCACTAGATCCGCCGCCCCCTGTCGATTCATCGCAGGGGTGCCTGGCGTGTTAAACCCTCTCGGTTTTGGTTTTGTTTTTTCCCAAAGAACTCCCCCTAGGGCTCCGGCGCGTCCCGCCGGCCACCCGGAAAGGCGCTCAAAACGCATCCGTCGTGTCTCTGTTTCCTCCAGTTGGCTCAAGATGGCGTCCAAGACGGCCAAGATGGCCCAGGATGGTCTCCAAGACGTCTCCAAGACGGCCCAAGATTGCTTCCAAGACGGCTAAAATGGCCCCAAGATGCCTCCAAGACGAGCCAAGATCGACTCAAGATGGTCTACGACGGCCCAACAAGCCCGCAAGAGGCCTCCAAGACGGCCCAAGAGCCCTCCAAGACGTCCTCCAGGAAGGCCCGAAAGGGCCACAATTATTGATTTTCCTTGGTTTTTGAAGGATTTTGGCATTTGCGCCTTTTCGGCTTTCCGACGGCCCAAGACGGCCCAAGAGGCCCCCAAGATCGCCCAAGAGGCCCCCAAAAGGGCCCCATGACGGCCCAAGTGGCCTCCAAGACGGCCCCAAGACGGCCCAAGAGGCCTCCAACACGCCCAAGATGGCCTCCAAGACGCCCAATATGAACCTCCAAGACGGCCCAGAAGCGCTCCAATAGGGCCCCAAGTCGGCCCCATCAAGGCACCCAAGACGGCTCCCGACGGCGTCATACGTGCCAGGAACCCACCAAGATGGCCGAAGTTGGCTCGAAGCTGGCCTAAGACGGCCCAAGAGGCCCCCAAGAGGGCCTCAAGGAAGGCCAGCAGAGGCCCAGCAAGTTGATTTTCCTGAGGTTTTAGACGGATTTTGACATTTGCTTCTTTTCGGCCTTCCGACGGCCCGAGACGGCCCCAGAGCCCCCGAAGATCGCCGACAGATCGCCCAATAGGCCTCCAAGATGGCCCCAGAACGGCCCAAGAGGGCCCCAAGACGGCCCCAAGAGGCCCCCAAGACGGCACAGGAGGCCTTTAAGCCGCCCAAGATGGGCTTCCAAGACGGCCCTGGAGCATTCCAAGAGGGCCCCAAGTCGGCCCATAGAGGCCACCCAAACGGCTTCCGACGGCGTCAAACGGACCAGGAGCCCACCAAGACGGCCGAACATGGCCCTAAGATGGCCCAAAACGGCCCAAGAGGCCTCCAATAGGGCCTCCAGGAAGGCCCGAAACGTCCAAAATCTTTGATTTCCCATAGGTTTTGGAAGGATTGTGGCGTTTGCTTTTTTTCTGCCTTCCGACGGCCCGAGACGGCCCAAGTGCCCCCAAAGATCGCCCAAGACACGGCCCCAAGAGGCCCCCAAGACGGCCCAAGAGGTCTCCAAGACGCTCAAGATGGCCTCCAAGACGGCCCAAGAGCCCTCCAAGACGTCTTCCAAGAAGGCCCGAAAGGGTCAAAATGGCCTCCAGGCGGCCAAGATGACCTTCAAGATGCCCACGTGTTCCCACAAGGCTTTCCAAACCGATTCGGGGAACACATGGTCCGATAGCTTGGCAGGTCTGGCCTCAACGTTCGGCAACATAGGCGCTTCCGAAAAGGCAGGGGGCGGCGGTGATTCGCCGTAGGCGTCTTCGATCCGCCGCCCCCTGTCGATTCATCGCCGGGGTGCCTGGCATGCTAGACGATTTCGGTTTTGGTTTACTGCCCTGGAGCATTCCAAGAGGGCCCCAAGTCGGCTCAGAGATGCCCCCACACGGCTTCCGACCAAGACGGCCCAAGAGGCCCCCAAGGAGGCCTCCAGGAAGACCCGAAAAGGCCAAAATCATTGACGTCCCCATGAGTTTTTGAAGGATTGTGGCATTTGCTTTTTTTCTGCCTTCCGACGGCCCGAGACGGCCCCAAGAGGCCCCCAAGACAGCTCAAGAGGTCTCCAAGACGCTCAAGATGGCCTCAAAGACGGCCCAAGAGCCCTCCAAGACGTCCTCCAAGGAGGCCCGGAAGGGTCAAAATGGCCTCCAGGAGGCCAAGATGACCTTCAAGATGCCCACGTGTTCCCCGAATGCTTTCCAAACCGATTCGGCGAACGCATGGTCCGATAGCTTTGCAGGTCTGGCCTCAACGTTCGCCACATAGGCGCTTCTAAAAGGGCAGGGGGCGGCGGTGATTCGCCGTAGGCGTCTTCGATCCGCCGCCCCCTGTCGATTCATCGCCGGGGTGCCTGGCATGCTAGACGATTTCGGTTTTGGTTTACTGCCCTGGAGCATTCCAAGAGGGCCCCAAGTCGGCTCAGAGATGCCCCCACACGGCTTCCGACCAAGACGGCCCAAGAGGCCCCCAAGGAGGCCTCCAGGAAGACCCGAAAAGGCCAAAATCATTGACGTCCCCATGAGTTTTTGAAGGATTGTGGCATTTGCTTTTTTTCTGCCTTCCGACGGCCCGAGACGGCCCCAAGAGGCCCCCAAGACAGCTCAAGAGGTCTCCAAGACGCTCAAGATGGCCTCCAAGACGGCCCAAGAGCCCTCCAAGACGTCCTCCAAGGAGGCCCGGAAGGGTCAAAATGGCCTCCAGGAGGCCAAGATGACCTTCAAGATGCCCACGTGTTCCCCGAATGCTTTCCAAACCGATTCGGCGAACGCATGGTCCGATAGCTTGGCAGGTCTGGCCTCAACGTTCGGCCACATAGGCGCTTCTAAAAGGGCAGGGGGCGGCGGTGATTCGCCGTAGGCGTCTTCGATCCGCTGCCCCCTGTCGATTCATCGCAAGGGTGCCTGGTGTGCTGGACCCTTCGATTTTGTCTCTTGTTCTTTGTCCAAAAGAACTCCCCCTGGGGCTTCGGCCCGTCCCGCCGGCCACCCGGAAAAGACCTCAAGCAGCACAATTCACTCATTTTTCGCCCAAGATGGCCCGAGATGGGCTCCAAGATGGCCACGTTGGCCCAAGATGGCCTCCAAAATGGTCCAAGATGGCATCCAAGTCCGCCCAAGATGGTCCAAGACGGCCTCCAAGACGGCCCAAGAGAGTCCAAGATACCTCCACGTTCGCCCAAGAGGCCTCCAAGACGGTCCAAGACGACCCAAGAGGCCTCCAACAGGTCCTTAAGGAGGGCCCGAAGAGGCTAAAATCATGGATTTTCCATAGGGTTTTGAAAGATGGTGGCATTTGATTATTTTCGGCCTTCCGACGGCTCAAGACTGCCCAAGAGGCCCAAGATCGCCCCCAGAGCGCCCAAGAGGCCTTCAAGTTGGCATCAGGACTGCCCAAGAGGCCTCCAAGAGGGCCCCAAGAAGGCACAAAGACGATCCAAGAGGCTTCCAAGACGCCCAAGATGGCCTCTAAGACGGCCCTGGAGCACTCCAAGAGGGCCCCAAGTCGGCCCAGAGAGGCCCCCCAAACGGCTTCCGACGGCGTCAGACGGGCCATGAGCCCACCAAGACGGCCGAACATGGCCCTAAGGTGGCCCCCAAGATCAACCACGAGGCCTCCAAGATGGCCCCATGACGGCCCAAGAGGCCCCTAAGACGGCTCCAAGAGGGCTCCAAGACGGGCCAAGAGGCCTCCAACACGCCCATGATGGCCTCAAAGACGGCCCCGAAGCGCCCCAAGAAGGCCCCAAG